CCCTTATTACATGATAATTCCTAGTTTTATGTTCATTTATTAAATTGTACCACGTAGCGTTCCCATTATGAGTACATACAGGGTGGTGCACGGTAAGTAGGAACCATGGAAGTAAAAGATAAGGGGAGACGACACCAGGCTTGTGACGTACATTATGAACTAGTATCAGTAGGCGGAGCCTATAGTCCAGGGAATAGAGGGTTTTAGCATGCAAAATGAGAAGTAGTTCCAATTTCTTTTGCATGTCGTAGGCAGTCATCTGGTGGTTAAGAATCTAAGTTTTCGACCTCCCACCCCTTGTGCTTCCCCCGTACCACCCCCAAAACCCCTGAAATTTGGTTGGTTTCTTAGATTTTCAATCATATCTTTTTAATAGTCCACTTTAGGAAAAAATATTGTCATCATAAATTGTAGAGCATAAAATTCTACACAACTTTGATATACACTATTTTTTTGTGAAATTTTTATTAAAAAAGATATAGAGCTTGAGAGTTGGTTATATTTTTAAGAATTCTGAAATTTCTATGTAGGTGTTTTAATCAAATTTCATACTTTTACACTATAATTAAGAGTTTTATGAGAAAAAACTTGAATTTATCGTGGTATAAATCCCTCTACCCTGCACCCTTACCAAAGGGGATGCATAATAATGAAACTTGCAACCCTTGCTAGTGAGGATATTTGAATTACTGTGAGATTATAGCCCTTTCTAATATACTTTTGAAATGAAAAAATTGTCTCACTTCAGTTCAGTTTAACCCCCCTCCCCCTCTCCCCCCCGCGCGGAAAGAATAGATATTTAAACGCTCTTGTGGCGATTGTGAAGTTAGTCAGAGAATACAACGCTTATTACATAATATTTTCTATTCCTCTTAAATATCTATTCCTACCGTGGTTGGGGGGAGGGGGGGGGGATGAAGGATGAAGCTGAACTGAAGTGAAAATAATTTTTTGTTTCAAACGTATATTAGAAAGCCCTACAATCTCACAGTGATTCAAATATCCCCACTAGCAAGGGTTGAAAGTTGAATTATTATGCATCCCCTTTGGTAAGGGTGCAGCGTAAAGGTATTTATGCCACGATAAGTTGAAGATATTTTCTCATAAAACTCTTAATTATAGAGATAAAGTATAAAATTTTGGTTAAAACATCTACATACAAATTTTAGAGTTCTTAAAAATATAAGCAACTCTGAAGCTCTATATCGCTGTTAATAAACATTTCACAAAAAAGTAGTGTATATCAAAGTTATGTAGAATTTTATAGTCTACAATTTCTGATAACAATATTTTTTTGTAAAATGAACTTATAAAAAGATATGATTGAAAAACTAAAAAACCAACCAAATTTCTTTGGTTTTAAGGGTGGTACGGGGGAAGCACAAGAGGTGGGGGGTCGAAAACTTGGATTCTTAACCACCAGATAGTCTTTCATGACATGCAAAAAAAATTGGAACTACTTCTCGTTTTGCAGGAAATGGTCCATTTTCAGTCTCTATTTCCTGGACTACTATGGTCATACCAACATGGACGACACGCCAATAACAATAACACTTGGAAATACTTAATCGTCAAGCACCAATTAACTAATAATAGCTGCCAGCTACTGACAATACCTAGATGACATTTGTGTCACACCAATATGGCTAATCTGCTGTCGCGCGGTAACTGTCGTGTCGTCTCCCTACTTATTGTACCTCCATGGTAGGAACATAGGGATTTAACATGAGAAATTAGTTTTATGCAAAATCCTGGCCTCCTGTACATTTTACAGAGAAAACTGTAGAGTTTAAAGTTGTTTAGAATTAAAAGGTGCATACAAAACTTTTTTTACATGTTTTATTAAACTGTTCGTATATCCGCAAATTTAAAAATAAATTTCAACATTTCAACTTCTGTTATTAATGGCAATTCATAAAACAACAAAAGTCATGGCTATTGCTACAGAAATGTTGAAACTTATCAAAAGCTTACCAAAAGCTTAATAAAACATGTAAAAACAGTTTTGTATGCATCTTTTAATTCTGAACAACTTTAAACTCTACAGTTTTTTCTGTAAATTGTACAGGAGAGCAGGATTTTGCATAAATCTAATTTCCCATGTTAAATCCCTATGTTCCTACTTACCGTGCACCACCCTGTATATGTTTTTAGGTTTATATATTTACAATTTTTATGCAATATGATATTTTTTTTAAATACTTATTTTTAAATTTAAGAAAGTTCATATATATATATATATATATATATATATATATATATATATATTTGACGAGCGTCAGTTTAAAAATGAAGATAAACTGATAAGTTCTTTACGGGTTTTGGCACATGATGAATTGAACTAAAATATTTTCAAGATGGCGCCACTTCCGGAAGTAGCCATAAACTTTGTAATTTAAAATAGGGACCCCCTATTTTTTTCTACGTTTTCGGTTTCTACGTCGAATTTGGAGTACAACGATACCCCATAGTTGACCCTTTGCTCCAAGGGCTTCGCCGATATTCAAGTTTTTATGTCAACAATTGAATTTGCAGGGGTAATTTTAAACATTTATTATTCGAAAACGGTGAGACGGCTACTAGAATATGGTAAAGTTACGAAGGGATAATGTAAACAAAGGAACTTACGTGTTGTTTCGAAGTCCATTAACAACGAAGGCGATGTTGCAATGGCGAAGATTGCGTGTCGATTTTGTTACAACGAAATCTTCTAATTGATGTGCGGTGCTTTGACGTTCTGCTTGTTAATAACATGTTGCGAACTGCACGGCGACATCTTGACCCGTTGGGGATCGATCGAGATCTATATGCGAACGACGAAGGCTAATCGGCCATTGATTAACGGCGACTTCTCAACGTAGTTGAGTCGATGGCTTCTAAGCGAAGAATCGGACGAATTCTGCGCGACGAGTACACATATTGCGCTTCTGCGGCTCATGCGCGCACACGTAACAAATAGGAATATATACAGGCAAGGCAAAACGGTTATGTACAGGGTATTTTCATTAAAGGAAAAAAGTAAGGATATTTTATTCTAGTTTGGGGACGCAACAGATTTATTAAAGAAAGATCGAATTTTCTTATGGTATATAATGGGAAAGTTATTCATAATAGTTAATGGGTGGATAATTTTGGAGCCTTTTAGAATTTAGGTGAAGGAAAAAACTGTTCCTACATTCTATGGAATTAAGAAATTTCAAAGAATCGAGCGCATTAGTTGTGCATGTCTTTGACCTATTATCATATGTACTACGTAAAAATAGACGTTTTATCTCCGCGAAGAACTTATTCTCAATCTTCATTTCACCTTTATATTGAGAATATTAGAGTACCTACATTACGGCCGGTTGCAAGACGGTTGGAATATACATGAATTAGGAAATCCTGAATTACATATAAGCCGAGATTAGTACACGATCGGGTTTCTCGTACGTAATCGAATCTTAGATTTTGAAATTCTAGAATTATTATAATCCCACGCCAGGTCATTGTGAATTCACCCCTATTTTGACACAATACTAATTTGACGTTTGTGAGGTGATAGCGTAGTGTTAAATCTGTTGATCACGGTTACGGATCACATCAACAAAAATGAGGAAGGAGAAGTGCAAAAATTACACAGAGGTAGAGAAAGAGTTTCTATTAGAAACGATCAAAAGGTTAGTAAGTATAATTAGTATAGATATTGTAATTTTATTGTATAATTTCTTTATGTATAACTGATCATAAGAAAATAATATACCTATACATTTCAGTTTTTCAACAATAGTAGAAAATAAAGTAACAAATGGGCCATCATGCGAGAAAAAAAATGATGATTGGAAAAAAATTGCCGAAATTTTCAACGCGCGGTTCCTTTCTGGCGAACGTACTGGAGAACAGTTAAAAAACCTCTATAAAAATTTAAAACAGAAGTTAAGGAAATATGTGGCGGAGATAAATGTACGTTGAATCTAATCAACTTAAGCAAATTTCAAGGTAATTTATGATATACTTTAGAAAGAAGACTACTTGAAAGCAAAGAAAGATCGGACTCATGATAAGGTACTGTATTTCTTGATATACAGATACACAATAGTGCCATATACCTATTTTAACGTATCTTACTTATTTTTAGAAAGAACTTGTAAGGACAGGAGGTGGCACATATGCTTCCCGATTAACGGAAACTGGGGCAAGATTGTTGGCGATATGTGAGGAGCAAATAACTCCACACCAAAACATTTATGATGATAATGCTCTCTATCACGGTATGATCATTTTCAAGGGCCCCTCCATACGAGACGTTTTGCAGTACGGCAGAGTAGCGCCGAACCAACGCAAGCAACGCGGGTTTATAGTCCAGCCATTCTATGCCTAAAAGGCCTAATAGAAAAAATAATTCGTGTACAAGTTCTAATTTTTTCGGGAATGTGTGGTTGAAGGTCTCTGATGATTGTGTCGGTAATAACGTCCCAACAAAATTTCCAAATATATCCTAGAATGACTGGACTAAGCAAAGCAAAGCAAAAACACAGTTCATAATTCGCTGCAGAAAAATGACATTGTAAATTAATTAATTAATTTTGTCATTAATCTTCCAGATAGAACCCAACAAGATGTGCTAGAAATGATAGAAGATCTGCCGGAGGAAGATATAACAATAACAGAAAATGTGATGGCGAAGGAAATAGCTGAAGATGAGACAATGGCCGCAAATACCGTCGTAGCAGATAGGGCGTCAGATTCAAATGTATTGGTTCGTCGTTCTGGATTGAAAAAAAACAGAAAACTAAAAAAGAATGTTGTGAATGCGGAAACCTTAAAAGTCGTTTATTTAAAAAAAAAAATTAAACATGCAAATTTTTTGTGAAACGCAGCAAGGCGGGAACATGCCATTACAATGTTAATAAAAAAAGAAAAACTGAAAAAATTAAGAGAAAATTAACGATACTCCTTAGTTTTGTAATTATTTTATGATAATTAAAATTGGAATTGTCTATAATTCTTGAATTCTTCACTCATACAGCAAACACCGTATTCACTAGTGCTGTTCTCACCGAAGAGTCATCATCTACATCAACAATTGGCGCCTCTAGCTCTTCGGGTAGGTCAACATTAAAATCTTCTATTATGTCACCTTGGGCAATAGCTATATTGTGCAAAACACAACAAGCTACAACTATCGCTAACGCCCTCTCAAGTCTGCATCGAAACCCAATACTTAGGCATGGAAATCTTCTTTTAATTACCCCAAACAAACGTTCTACGGGATTTCTAGTTGCAATTTGGGCCCGGTTGTACGCCCTTTGGCTTGGACTTGCAGGGTTTAAATAAGGCGTTAATATGTAACGTTTGCAAGGGTAACCATTATCACCAAGAAGATATCCATTACCATACAGTCCGCTTTCAAAATCCACCTTCAACGCGCTATCGTTAAATATGGTGCTGTCATGTACTGAGCCAGGCCATCGTGCGATTATGTTTTGAATTTTTAGTTTCGCATTACACACGGCTTGTACATTAACAGAAAAGTAACCTTTTCTGTTTCTGAACCGCTCAGCATATTCTCCTCCAGGCGACTGAATTTTGATGTGTGTGCAGTCGATCGCACCGAGAACACCTGGGAAACCAGCGATTTGGTAAAATCCTGAAATTGCCAGGTTTTGCTCTTCAGCTGTGTTCGACATCCCTATCCAATCTGGTCGCATGAGTGCGATGTAATGCGTAACATTTTGAATTATTCTGCACACACTACTTTTGTGAATATTGAAAGTATCCCCAACCGTCTGTAATTAATAGATCATTTTGCTTATGAACGTTGGTAATAAGGTTAATTGGAGAAATTGAACCTTACCTGTTGGAAAGATCCAGTTGCATAATATCGCAGTGTAATCAATCAATAACTGAAGAATGGGTGGTATGGCCATACTTCGGAGAGTTGATCTTTTTAAATTCTCCCCAACAAGGTCCAACATTTCCCCTACTGTGGTCTTTGAAAATCGAAAGCGCTGTTTGAAGTCAAGATCATCGTAATTTTCCATTGGATTTGCCCTGTCTCTAAAAACTCTTGGCCTAGGCAAAACCAATTCATCATTGTCGCTTTCCAGACTTGATAATGATGTATCTGACATTTCTACGTTCTGTCGTTATAATTCCAGTTTAATCGTCCGATTTGACGAATTAGAATAATTTTGATTTAATCAATGACAAATGTAGGATTACAGGTTCATGCAACCCAAAACCAACGTAATCAGGGATTATAATAGGAATAAACTTAGATTAGAATAATCAAGATTAGTTTAATCCAATACTTGATCATGCAACCAAAATTTTTGTTTAATCTCAGATTTGGCAAATAATCTTGGATTTCGATTATAATTCGCTTTCTTGCAACCGGCCGTTAGAGTTAAAGTGCTCCTTCACACTGGCCGAATTAGCAGCGCTTCTAAGCAGAAGGACAGGACGCAGTGCAGCGCTGCTAAACCACGCTAAACAGACCAGTATGAAGGGGCAGTTACGAGTATTTACTTTGAATTTTGCAAGTATAAGCATTTGCTTACTTTTATTCATACGGGCCAATATTTTGTTTAAAACCTAACAAAAATTGCTCCGATACCTAATGTATATTTAGCGGGATTTACTGCGATGCTTTTCGATACAGCGGAAGCGATGATCCTACATTACCAGCGTCGTCTTTTCATGAGAAAATGTACTACTGCATCTCGTTAAGACCGCCGGAACGCATCAAAAACAGACCATCGCCATTCCAACAATCCTGCTTTTATTTAACAAAATTACAGTTTCATATTAGCTGATATTGATCTAGAAGGTTCAGTGTTGAACCTAATATACTTTGTTTGTTGATATATTGCACCATTTTGTCGTAATTGTTGGAATTGCGAGATACAAAATACAATGAAGCGCAGACACACACCCATGTCCATTAATTGTAAAATTTTATCAGTCCGTACTGTTTCGTAGTTCAGCCACTATATGAAAGATGGCATTATTATCGCGTTATATTTTTACTATTCGTATTTTGTAATTGCCGCCTCGAATGAAAAATAATTTAATTCATATTGTTCTTCAGTAAACAATAAGCGTTTTGTAGTAGGTAGTAGGTAAATGTTTTAGAAACAAATGCATGCGTTGGAAAATCTAAAATTTTCGCAAGTAAGAATTACACGCAAGTGCATCATAATAATACATTTTTTGAAAGCATGTTGTCTAAAAACTACATGAGCTATTTTCATATTTTGACCAAGGGCTCGTGCTTGAAACAAAATATGGAAATAACCAAATGCAGTCTTTTACTTAACACTTGCTTGCATAAAAAATTATCAGGTTTATTTTAAAGAACGAGTCTAATTCGGCACAATATTTCTAGAATCTTTGATTTATTTCAAATTAGCATAAACCTCATTAGCACAGAAAGCACTCGTTGAAATTATTTTCCCTTGTTACTATAGACACGGGGCCTATAAGAAATTATTGCCGGGATCTTTCACATAGAGGGAAATTATCACTGTAATTGAGCGATAATTGCCCGCTTCATATGGGATTTATTACGCATGAGGCGCTCTTCAGTTTTTTAGCGCATTTTTTAAGAATTAAAAAAAATGTGCCATGTATGCGTTTTGTCCGTCCGTCCTGGAATTTTTTGCAGTAGGTAGCTTATACCTTGAAGGTGTGCCAGATGGACATCAAATTTCGCTGTATAAAAGGGGGGGCCCCGCACGAATTATTTCCTGAGATGCTGTTTTTGAAAGTAAAACGGCAATAGCTTTTACATACGACAACAAATTGGTCTCAGATTTTGCATACGAATGCCTTTAATGGCGCCAAGTTAAACTTTAGAA